TTAGGCTTTACACGAACTCGGTAACTGCAATCCTGAAACTAGTTTCCCACCAATCCACGTCTCGCCTGACCCTGCTTTTTGCTTTAGAAAGCCGTCGCACCACATGAATTCTGGTTACACCGACACCTTGCACCGCGAATCTAATCCCGCTGCCACAAGGAAGCCGGGAAGCCATCGTAAACGAAAATTGTGCTGCACACGATTCTACCCAAATTTTTCAACTTTAACTTTGCAATTACTGGCCGTTTCTCCAGCCTGCGCTCCAAACCCTCAGGAAGTCAGCCCGAAATGACCAGACGACTGGCTGGGCTGCAGGCGGTGTTGTCACAATATCCAGATAGACATTGGCACTTTCCCACCTTCGGGAGGGGCCACAATTCGTCACCTCGGAAAAGCCACTGCTGTCGGATCACAATGGCAATGGTCCGCTCCCTGCCGAACTTCACCGGGTCACGAAGGCTTCAGCCATTTGCATCGAGCATGCCAGAACTTGGAACATGTGCAAAGGCGTACAAGTACCGTCGGTAGCACATTCTAGCACCATGCACTGGCCCGACCTTGCAGAGTTGACCAAAGGTTGGCGGCAGGAAAAAAGTTACAGAGATGACCCAAAGGACCCAAAGCGCCTCAAGCCTTGTCGCTCTCTTGCAGACGTAGACTATGCTGAGGCGAAAGATAAGAAAGCCCCGGCATTGCAGAGCGGCGGGCCCCCGGGAAAAGGCATGATGGCATGGAGGGCTGTTGGGTCTACCATTTTAGCTTCAACGTTGGGCACAAGCACAGGCAAAGAAAACGCAGAATACTGCGATCAAATCCATCCGTCTACCTGTGAAGCACACTGGCAGAAGGAATTCGCGGACCTGCGTTTCGATCGTCGTAAGGCTGTGCTGTGTTCGCGATCCGAAAATGCCCAGATTGGCAAGAGGATGGTTTCCCTTGGGTCCCTAGGTCAGAACATGATACCACAACGGCAACGGAATTTTGCTGGTTCAAAACAGGTCATAGTTGGAGCTTGTGTGTGGTATTTCATGCTTGCGTTGGGTGCTTTCTGTGCTGCGTTTTTGTTGCGGAATGTGTGCTATCTCTCGTGTGCAAGCTCTTTCTGTTACAAATAGCACTTGCATTTGTGCCGCAGCTGCGCTCTTGCAATTCTCCGGATTCCCTGGTTGCGCGTTGCTGCCAGCAGTTTTCAACTGAAACTTGAAATCACATGGTTTGTGAGACAGAGGCGCCGACGCGGCAAGCCAATTTGCGTTTGAGCTGCACAAGTTGCATTTGCTTGTGTCGAGATTTCCCCAAGATTGCTAATCAACTGGGCCCCATCGACATACGCATCTGGCTCTGACTGTTTTATGTTCGTCTCTAGTCCGCCTTACGTGCAGGTGCAGTGCAACGTGCAAGTCAACATGTGCTCTGGTTTGGCAAAGGTCTAGTTCGTCGCTGTTAATGCAATGGCCATAAAGTGGCAAAAAATCTGTTGCAAGCGAATGTGAGAGCCTCCACCGTGATAACCAAAGCAGGAATCATACGATGTTTTCTGTAGCGTTTATTTCCCGTGCAGCGTTTCAGCAGTGGTGGTAGCTGAAAAAGCCCTTTTCGCTCCCGGGCCATCGAGTACAAAAAAAGGGCAGGTTGGGAAGAAGCTCGTTTTGCACTAGCCTTGGACCCCAGTTGATCTTGCTTGCCTTGATAGTAGCTGGCTCCCTTTCGGAGGACAGATTGGCCATGAGACAAGCGTTGTGGGATTCAGTTTCAGGTGGCCTGTGGCCTGCATTGTGGTTTGGGGGTCTACGAGGCCCGCCCAACGCAGCAAATGTTGCACTCCATCTCTTTTTGGGTTTTGACTGTGCGGTCTAGCGGCTTAGGAAGCGCTGGGGCGCAGGGCGTCCGCAGCTTACAATGTGCAAAGCAGCTTCGGTGGTGGATAGGATATCCAGCCTGATCAGCTGGACGGATGGGCCGTTTGTGGCATCTAGATCAGTCGATGGCCGTGGCATCCAGATTCTCTGCATTTTCACCCATGTCCTTATGGTAACCCAAACAGCATTGCCCAAATCCAGCTTGTGGTTCGTTCTCATCGGGGTGTGTTTGTGTGGTTGGGAAACATCTGCAACCCGCTGTATATGTGACAAGATTTCACTAAAGGCGCGCAAAGGGGCACAGGCCTACCTGTGCCCACGAAGCCTACTCTAAGACAGGGGAAGGGAGATCTGATCAACCACCTGTGTCTGCCTTTACAGCCGATTCAAGACCAGCCAAAAGCATCTTTTCGCTCACTTCGATCGGATGTATTTCCGTCATTGGCTTCATTTCCGTATTCGTAGCTTTTTCCTTGCTGCAGCGTGCTCCCAACTTGGTGCTTTGCCGATGATTTCCGTCCCTGCCGGCTTCATGTCCATGTCCGTATCAAGTATATTTGGCCTCACTTTGGGCTGCAGCATTGATCTATTATCGCCATGTCCAACTTCATTTCCGTGTGCGCACCGGCTGTTTCCGCCTTCATTTTTGCTTACATACTTGATGCATTTCCGTGATTTGTCGCTTTATTTCCGTGTTCGCATTGTCTGCTGCATCAGTGTTGCATGTCCGGCTTCATATCCGCTTTGGTCTGAGGCATTTGACTGCAAAATTGAAGAACGTCCGTCATTTTCGGGTTAATTTCCCTGCCCTTATCGACTGTTTCTTGCTTCATTTTGCGCTGCAGAATTAACAGCGTTGGTTTTGATTTCACAGGAGTTGCGGGGTAAACTATCATGCTGATGAGCTTCAAGTCTGCGTGCGTGTGTATGCTTGCTTTCTGCCTGGTTCTGCTGGAGGCGACAGCAGACGGCTGGCTGACAACGGTTGCAAGGGGGGTCGGGTGGCGCAGGATTGGCGTGTGGTTGTGGCATGCGATCACCGAGGACAAAACCATCCAAATAAGTCCAACTGCGGATGGTACTTAGCTCGCATTGTTTGATGCGTGCGCAGTCACGAGCACTTGCGCAGTGAAGTACACTTTGCCAGCTGAGAGCAGGGCCCGAGCACTGCGTGTCACCTCTTTGTTTCCCTGGCGACTGGATCCCATTTCCAAAACTTGGAGATCGGTGAACGGGCACACACTGCAAGCTGCGAGCCAGGGCGGCAGCAGCCCATCCCTGGAAAAGCTCCACATGTAGACTCCTTGCGGATCACAGTCCCACGGTCAGAAGGATAGGGATCAGGATGGCTCAGCATAGTATAGACCATCTGGCAGTCAAGCGATCGAAACCTCGAAGTGGGAACAGCCCTGCCCGCCTTGCAACAGGAGCTGGGATTAACCTGCGCGCTGTGAAGTCCGAATCGCTTTTGCGTCTCCGGAGATCGATAGTCCAAGCTTTGGGGGAGAGGTGCTCTGCACCCAAGCCTGTCAGTGTCACCCGATGTTTACCCGGTTTGTTCGTTGGTTCAGTCGATGTGTGGACGAAATTCACGGCTGTCAAGCCCACGCAAGTCCCCAAAACGGACGGGACAAGTGCAGACAGGCAGTTCTCACAAACGGAAGCCCGCGAACACATCGCCGGGCAGCTTCAGCTGTTAAGGCCCCACCTTGTCCTTCAGCCGCATCGTCTGCAGTTAACACGGGGGTTGGTGCTCTGACATGAGCATTGTCGATGCTAGGGTATTCCCCTGACTCGTCCGGCGAGACTCAAACAAGGCCATCAAAATCCAAAAACTCTCCACAGAAGGCACCTCGCAGCCATCTACCTTCTTCTTGGTTGAGGATGTAGCGTCTGTGGGCATATGGTCACCTTAGAAAGGCTGTGTGAGCTGAACGAAAGTAGCATTCAGCAGTGAGGGGTGCAACTGCGGCGAGAAGCGACACGTGTGTGATTTATGTACCTTTCTTCGTCTGTGCACGATGCTGTTTGAGGTAGCGACAAAGCACCGGCAACTTGACTGATTGGCATAGAGCATCCTCAGCGCACCACAGGTCTTGAGGCACCCCTCCGATGTCCCATGCACATGCTGCGATGCTGCGCATCGCATGACGCTGCACATCGATTCATGCCTTCCGAGGACGGAGATCTGCATTCTGAAACCAAAAACAATACTCGACGCTGTCTATGAAGTTGACATGAAGTGTGTGAGGTGTCAGAGAACCCAGTTTCATGCTACACGAATGAGGCACAAGAGTTGGGAGTCTCGGGTTCGAGTTCGGTGCTGGTCCCAGTGACATGATGTCCAACAGCCCAAGACATGCACCCTGGAGCCATCCCTGCTCGTGCTGCCTCTTGAGTGTTTTCCTGTGCATAACTTCAACAGGGGATCTTGCTTGTGTTTGTCGCTACAGAATGACACCGCTGCTCACCTCGCAACTCTTCTGTTAAATGATCGCAGAAGGTACGGACAAAAAACGAAGACATCGGAGCTTTCCCTTTGCCAGGTCCAAAGCACCGTCCATCAGCCCTACAAGACCCCGGCCACGGGGCCGACGTGGTCATCCTTGTGATTCTGCTCCTGCCCTATCGCAACTCCGAGGGCCAGAGCGGCCAGGAGCGCAGCAATCATGGTCCTTGCACAACGCCTACGCTGCTCTTCGGTGCAGAAGGGAGTCTATGTCAAGCCCAATGCTAAAACGACATTTTGTTGATAGCATACCCAATCCGCAATGCGCCTCAGGATTCCAGCGCCCGGGCCCTCAATGCTCGAGCCAAAAAGCGGAGCTGCAGATGGGACGACTGCTGTGGAGACGGACAAGGACCACACTGGGTCACTGGGGTCTGCCTCCCTTTCAGCATCTGCTTTCGGCACATGTCTCGAGTCCGCTATGGCGAAGTGTCGGCGGGAAGCCAGAGAAGCTGAAATTTCACTGAAAGCGCAGCTGTGTCCTAGAACAAAGCAAGATTCAACAGCACAGAAAAGAAGAGACCCTAAGAAGGCCTAGCAAAGAGTTAAGAGCTACTAGTACCAGCCTACTACCAGCAGCATACTTTGAACCCGCCCCGCAACCCGAAACCTGTGCTTGCAAGCGGTGGCGCCTTCCTGCAACGCTGCCCTGGGAGGTCTTAACGGATTCGGACTTTGCGCTGGGTCCACTTGTCGGGAAGTCTGCTTGACCACATGGAAAAATGCAGGGCCCCCCAGCTCCGGCAGTGGCGGCAGCGATGCATCATCGGCGTGGCCTTTGACCACTAAGCCGGAGAGGGGTTGACAAAGTTGGAGCCGAATAGCGAGAGATTCAACAAAGAAGGCAAGATGAACACAGCGCTGCTAAAGAAAATAGCGAGGGCAAGCGAAAAACAGGCAGCAGCACAAAAGCAAGAAGCGGACGTTGCCCCCCAATAAAAAAACAGAGGCGCAAAAAATAAATTCCCACAAACATCGGCCCTCCCTTTACATGTCCTCCACCTTCACTGGAGATACCACTGAAGTGCATAAGGGGCTACGGAGAAGCCATCAGCTTTCACCCAAGGAACTATGAGTACGCACGCCCTGCCTGGCTCCTCGGGAGGCGGCAGCCCCATAAGCGCCGAGCCCTGAACTAGACGGAACTTGTCAGTGTCTGGCGAAAATGGGGGGGGGGGGGGGGGGNNGGAACCATGACAATGTTTAGAGACCTCTCCAGATCGTCGCAGACAAGAGCCCCAGAACGAGTCTCTGTGCGCCTGTGGGTTTGGTATGTAGTTGTTGAGTTTGAGCACTGTTTGAGCCCCCGAGCGAAGTTAAAACCTGAATCTTGCGTGGTAGATCAGAGTTACCAGCAAGTCGTAGCTGTGCTGCCGTCCGGTGTTGCTGGCCTGGAGGCTGGAGCGCAGCCCCGTCAGTGAAAGCTGTGGCACGTGCTTGACGGGGGACCTCACATCTGAGCTTTATCTCGTCATGAGAATCACGTGGCTGCAGCCAAAGCATGAATGTGGAGTCTCCTTACTCTTTGAAGAGATTTGTTACAGAGCTGCAATGGCCCGGCTTCTCAAACGCGATTCCTGAACATCCAATAACTGATGCGCATCGCATGACAATTTGACTCCCAAGCCTCGCAGCCGGAGATCTAATTTCGGGCGCCTCTCCCTGCAAAGCACACGAAATGTGGAGTCGAGCAATTCGCTATCGGCTCCAACACGACTCTTCTATTCAAGTCTAGTTGTAACCTGTGCTTCTCCCCAAGCCAAGGATGCTTCAATTTCGGCAGAAACAGAACGACTGAAAAAGTCAACAAGACCCAAACATCGAAGCCATGCACGGCTTGATGGGCATAGCACTGGTCCGGGTTATGACATGCAAGCGTCTCACCCATCGGGACACCTCAAGCCCGCATCAAGGAGAGCCAACGCAACGAGTTGCTTTTTGCATCGAGCTTTGAACATTCGCCGAACATTCGCCCGGATGCCAATCCAGCGCTAGACATGGCATGACATGGCGCACAGAGCCGAGCCCGTGTTCACAGACAGGACTGCTCTGCGGATGTCCACGGACACGAGGCATTTCCGTGGAGGTGGAAGCTTCTCTTTGACCGTGAACTCTTCGTCGGTGCCGGCTCTGAGGCCGAGAGGAGGGGGCGAAGGGCCGCCGCTCCTGCGGAAGCGGTAGAAAGAGGAAACTCAACTTGGCACTGCTTGGCACTTGGGAATGCGGGGAGTCCTTCCATCGCTATTCCGCTATTCTCTCCCATCAAGCCAGACCTCACGAGCTAAGAGCTGCTTGGATGTTTAAGCCACAAGCAGCGAGCATCCGTCAATACCAGGCCTCGCCTCTCAGCCCCTGGCATTGCCGCAGTGCGGGCAACTCCCTCGAACTGACATTTGGCTCCAACCCTCATCCTCACATGGCTCACAGCCACCGAAGGCCAAGATCTAATCTCAATTTGCCACATCCAGGCCACCTTATTTTAAGGTCAATGAACTGTCGAGGCTTGAAATTGAGATTGATGGCCACTGCTTGCTCTTGTCCTGCGGTCCGGATGTTTGCGTCATGACGCCTGCATGCGGGCGACCGCCGCAACTAACTGCACTAGCCGTCTTGTACTTTGCAGACTGCATTGGTCATCGTCTTCCACGTCGCAGAGCTGGCTTCGAATTACTCTGCGCAAATTCACAACGAATAACGAATGCCTCTCGCATCCTCCGATCCACAGCTTCCGCAGCGGACAGCAAATGTGCTTTGATCCTGTGCTCATGCTCCATCGGTCAATTATACGACAAAGCTTGCAAGGACAACAGGGATTGCCCACAAAGGCTGCACGAGGGCGGCGATCTCACATCAACACTACACTCCCACACTGCACACTGCAGCAGAACGCGAAGTCCTGCACAACCTCAGTTAAGCTGTATACAGCAGGAATTCACTGGCTGCTTGCAAGGCGTGTCTCTAAATGCATGACTGCCGTCAGTCGCCGGAAATTATTGCTCGCGAATGTCGCCACTCTGGAACACATGGTCTATGCAGATGCCGGGCAGCCACATCGCGGAGAGCCTCAGCATGGAGACGCTGGCGGCGCGCCACTGTCGAAGTTCCAGCTAAATCCTTCCCGCATCTTCCCGCAGATCCCAGGCTCACCGAAAAGCTCACGGTCTTGCCGAAACGGATTCCAAGCTATGTGACGAGCACAGCGCGCGATATCTGCGATTCGCACTGGTCGACACGGGAAAGAGCGGTGCTTCAACCCGGGTCACTTCATGTGTTTGCGGCTTCTCGCAGAGCCTCCAGAAGTGCAATCGCTGCATTTCTTTTCGGTTGCTTCTTGCCATCGGCCGCACGAGAAAACTGGCCGGAAGAGCCTGCAGCCTGAAGAGATCTAAGAACAGATACGTATACTAGCTTGCATCTGAACTCACCATCAACCAGTCTGAATTCTTCTTGGAGCTCGACCTTCGGCTTCTTGCAGTACAGATTCAACATCCCCATGTGCGCAAAATCCTCGCCAAGTTCTTCTCAGAAGAACTTGGCGAGCATTTTGCGCACTTGACTTCTGTGCTGCCAGGTCCCTCCTCGCATCGACGGCTTCTCAGACTTGAAGCTGCGTATAATCCTTACATAAACGGCTTCAACAGACTAAACTAGCGTCTAGATCCAACACAGAGTGCTGCCAGACACCCACAGCTCTATACATCATCAACGACTTGCAAAATGGAGAAACTATCCTGAGCTGAGGTTCCGACAGCCGCCAAAGTCGATGTTGGTCGATCATGCCGCTCAAAAAGCACTAGGAAGGAAGAATCTGCTCGGCGTGCACGTCCGCGACCCTGCGCAAAGGACACAGAATTGATCACCGGGTCGAACCGAATGACACAGTTTGCAGCAGGAACGTCCATGCCCTCTTCAGCGACTGGGGTCATGAGCAAGTTGATGTCACCATGGGCAAACTGGGCGAGGCGAGTTTTGGACTCTTTGGCAGAAACACGACATGTTGCTGTCGCAGGCGTTCTTGCATAGATTGGCATAGAATGGCATGGATACAGGCAGGATTGAGCTTTCTCGCCAGCTCCCGGTCTGCTCCGATCACACGCTCTTAGATGTGGGTCATGACGCGCTGCTGCATCAAGAGCCCTGCCATCTGCAAAGACTTTCAATTTCTCAGAGTACCACATCCTTCAGATGCTCGAAGTACATTCTGTCAAAATCGCAAAGAAGCCGCGCGAACTTCTTTCGGCCACATGCCTGACTCCGGCTGGCATTCCCCAAGCATTTGCAAGAATGTAGTGGCAACATCCTCGGCCTCTTCCCGTGAGGGTACCAGCATTCTCACGGACTCGTACCAGTGCTCCAACGAGGCAAATATTGCTGACCGAGCGATTCTCTTGAGCATTCTCTTGGGCATAGTCTCCCCACATCCTGGGGGCAGCGTTCTGCAATGGAGACTGGAACCCAAAATCCTCCGATTCCGCAGCCACCTCCATCGACTGCACCACCGAAAACAACCGCTGCGCAAGCGGAGCCGCCTGCCTGTTTTGAAATTGACGGAAATCTCTGCCATGAGATGCGGCCTTCGGCAGGAAGCACACCTGGTGCTGTGGGAGATGTGCGGCCGCCAGCTTCCAACTCGGCAGTTGCAGTGCCCATCTGAATGGTTCCCGGCAGATGCGTGCGACATCTTGCGCTCGACACGTTGTTCTCCGAGCGCGTATGTCAAGGAAGCTGACAGGCCCTTGCAGCCGATTCTTTGACATCTTCGACAGTGACAAGGCCAGCTTTCGATACCGGTGATCCTGTAAGACATGATGAACCTCGTCGAAGACCACTCACTAACTTAAATGCATGCCAGAAAAAGCCTTGCAATCCTTTTGGCTTGCGCCACATGAACGTCTTTGGGTGTAGAAACCAAGGCATCCAACTGCTGAGGTACGGCGACTCCACCCATGAACTCAGCAACTTGCAGTCCAGTCGCTCGACAATAAAATCACGAAGGCAAGTCGGCACCAGAAACAAACATTGTGGACCGAGCAGATGCGAACAGTGTCTTCCCTGCACCGGTTGGAAGGACAACGACCGAATTCCCCACTGCCAAAACACTGTCGATGATCCCTTCCTGGTAACCTCTCAGCTGCAGGCAGGGATGGAGCCTAAGTTCTAGCACCGTTGAGCCTGAAAGGCCGGGATGCATCATGGTGAGTCCGAGGCCCATGCGCAAGGACCTGATTGTCGTTGAGAGCAAGCCGAAGGGTAAAGGAAAGCAGTGCCAGTCTCAAGTCTCAAGCTACTCATCTCACACGTGTATGCACTACGAAGCAATGTTGCTTCGAAACACAAATGATCCCGGGGTCCAGATGCGACATGCGCAGCAGGGCTTCCACCGAAACCTCCCCGCTGTTCACCTCGCTGCTTCGTCATGCAATCAATGATCGGCCCATGCCAGACTGAGATCACCATGGGCCATGGGCAGCGAAACTAGAGCAGAAAGCATGGAAGGTGAGGATCGGCAACATGCTGATCTGATTGAGATCCAGAGCTTCTACACTTCCTGCCGCCGGCCTTGTGCACTAGCTCTGCATTCTGGCGTAGGTTGTAAACCTCAAAAGTCGTATCGTAAATACATCGAAGCAAAAAAGGAGTCCGCAACAGGAGAAGAGTTTCAAAACCCTGCATCCAGCGCTCTTTCAAGACAAGGCGCCAGGGACCGAAGAGCAGGCCGTGCCATGGCACCTTACGCCGCGGCGGGCTCGCCGTGGCGCAGTGTTCGATTTGCTCCACAATCGCGCTCGCGTGCGTTTGATGCGGACTCCAGACTCGGCGTCTCCAGGACTCTCTCGCACTCTCTCACTGAACCGCGCTCGTACGACTCATGGACTGCTGTTGGTTCTCTCACTGTTACGTGGCATATGCTGATCTGCTTCAGAAGGCTCGCAAGGTCGAAGCCGCGACGACGCTTTCTGGAAGATTCTTAATGTAAGTGGGCCCCAAACACGTCATTGACAAATAGTGTATGTCGGAACGCTTCCGCACCTCTTTGTTCGCCTCGCCGCGCAGCACAGGCGATGCGCTCGGCAAGGGCAGGGAGAAGTCCTGCCTGATCTGGCCAGATTTAAATGCCTTGCTCTCATGTCAGGCAAACTCACTGGCATGAAAGCCTCAAGTACACCAACATCCCGAAAAAGGCTGCCCATGCCAAAGCGGGTCTGTGGGAGTCCTGTTCCATCAGCAAGGCGAGGCCACGACTCCTCGAGCCGAAAGCGTCCCGTGGACCCCAAAACTTCCCCACGCCGAGCCGCTGGGAGCCGAGAGGGCCGAGAGGGCCGAGAGCCGCCGCGCCGCGTTCCGCTCTTTCAGCGGGCGTGTGCTCCTGCCCAAAAAGGGCGCTCTTTGGCGCTGTGACTGCAGAGGCCGTGCCTCGACAAGTCCAAGCTGCTTCTGCTGGATTTCCTTTCAGTGCAGGTGGCTTCACTTTCACTTGAAGACCGTACTGTGCGAGCCGCTCTAGATCCCGGCAGTCTGGAAAAGAGACACACGCCACCATCTGTGCACAGCTTGGAATCACTGCAGGCGGTAGTGCCTCTCGGCGTTGCCGAAAGAGTGCCTGCACGTGGCTTTCGCGAGAGTGATAAACATCGCCACTCATCACCACCACTTACAACCCTCCCATGCACGGAGTTATGGAACTGCGAGAGCCTTGAGCCCCCTTCCGCGCGAACCAGCCGCGGCGTTTTGAACCTTGGGCCGAGCTGGCCGCTGGGGAGGCAGCGGTGCCACCTGGAATCTGAAGTACCAACAGCGTACGGATCTGAGGGCTGTCTCTGCCAAAATGTCGACGATGGCTGTGCGAGCAACTCAATGACCGAGAAAAGGCTGCACCAAGGGGAGGCGACGATGCCAGAGCCTAGCTAAGCTCACAGTCGGGCACCGGCGGCAGGTCTGGAGGGAGGAAGACGTGCCGAAGCGCTGCATCCAAGCTCGGTGGCCCCCGGGACCTTCGAAACTGTCAGGACTTGGTTGAATTTGGTTGATCCTCTCGGCACACAATCTCAACACGCACTAGCATCACTAGAGTCCAGAGCCTCAAGAGCAAGATCCGGCGTCCAACCATTCAGAGTCAGAGGCAGTGGGCAAGCGATTTCGGGCACTTGCCTCTTTGTCGGAGCCTCAAGCACCTCGCAATCGCTGTCGGAGGCAAGCTCGATCGCCATGGGAGGGAGGCTCACTCGACTCGCTTGGATTCTGATGGAGCTTAAGCTCTGTAAGCTCTTTAGGCTTTTGAGGTTTGAGTGGGGGTCCGTTCGGCCTCGTGTCAAGCTAGCTTGCATTCTCGGTGCCCTCTGGCACTGGCACTTGAACTTGACAGGACATGGCTTCGAGGCCGGTCGGGTTGAAGGACCGACGAGCGTATGCCGCGACACGACGCGCGACCCCAGTCAGAACTCCGATTCGCTTCTTGTCACCTATGGCCTACGGGAGAAGTCTTGCAAGAGCCTCTTCCCAAAGATCTTCGTCACTGCTGTCCAGCTCCTGCCATGTCTTCCAGCTGAGCATCAGATGCTCCGCTGCTCAGCCGCGAGTGGCTTTGCGAACTGCGATTGTGCAGGATATTCAGTTTCCCTCTACCCCGCCTCATCCTTTTTGCTTTCTGCCATGTCCTCCGATCGTGATATCCAGCAAGCTTGAGTGCGGCGCGAGTGCCAGCTGCAGTTGATTGATCCATTCTGCAAAGCCCGTCCTCGTCGGCGAGCGAGCTGTCCTGTCAAATCTCAAATGTAAGCTTCACCTACCAGTAAAATGCTGTTAAACGACATCCCACAAAGGATGCCGTCATGCTATATGGAATCTCTTGAAAAGCACTGAAACCGGCAACGGACATCCTCACCGGAGCTTGAGTGTTCGTCTGGCACCTTGCACAGCTTCGCCGCTCGTTGCTTAGGAAGCCCTGGTCCCGTACTCTGCAGGTTGAAGGTATTTCGAAAAGCAAGACTACCAGCCAGAGAACCGTGTACACTGGAACGTTAACTTCCGGCCTCCATGGGGGGTGACGTCATGGCCTCCTGGAGTATCAGCGTGCAGGATGGTGTATGGCCTGCCTTCAGTGCGTAAGGTCCTGCGGAGGAGGCACCGGCGCGGCTGCCGGATCCGACTGGCCTGGCTCCTGCAGCTGTGCATCGAGCCCTCGGCCCTACAGCCAACAGGTGCAAAAAGCCTCGCAGGAGGCACGGAGAACGAAAGCTCGGCGGCTTCTTTAGCCGGTAGATGTCGGGCCGGCAGGTCAGAGGGCTCTTATCGGCGGGAGTACAGTTTTGTACTCGTCGCAGTAGTAGCAGTGGCAGTAGCGGTAGAAGCGGCAGTAGCCGTTGTAGTAGCAGTAGTAGTAATAGTAGTAGTAGTAGTAGTAGTAGTAGTAGTAGTAGCAGCAGCAGCAGCAGCAGTAGTAGTAGTAGCAGCAGAAGTAGTAGAAGCAGCAGCAATACTAGTAGTGGTAGTAGTAGCACTAGCACTAGCACTAGCACTAGCACTAGCACTAGCACTAGCACTAGCACTAGCACTAGCACTAGCACTAGCACTAGCAGTAGCAGTAGCAGTAGCAGTAGCAATAGCGGGAGTAGTAGTAGTAGTAGTAGTAGTAGCAGCAGCAGTGGTGGTAGTGGTAGTGGTGGTGGTAGTAGTAGTAATTGTAGTAGTAGTGGTAGAGGTAGAGGTAGTAATGGTAGTAGTAGTAGTAGTAGTAGTAGTAGTCGTGGTGCTGGTGCAGTAGTAGTAAGAGTAGTAGTAGTAGTAGTAGTAGTAGTAGTAGTAGTCGTAGTAGCAGTAGTAGTAGCAGTAGCAGTAGCAGTAGCAGTAGCAGTAGCAGGTAAAGTAGCAGTAGCAGTAGTAGTAGTAGTAGTAGTAGTAGTAGCAGTAGTAGTAGTAGTAGTAGTAGTAGTAGTATTTGCTGTTGTAGTGGTAGTCGTCGTCGTAGCAGTAGTAGTAGTAGCAGTAGTAGCAGTAGTAGTAGTAGTAGTAGTAGTAGTATTTTTAGTAGGAGTAGAAGTAGGAATAGTAGCAGGAGAAGTAGTAGTAGTAGTAGTAGTAGCAGTAGCAGTAGTAGTAGTAGTAGTAGTAGCAGTAGTAGTAGTAGTAGTAGTAGTAGTAGTAGGAGTAGTCGTAGTGGTAGTAGTAGTAGTAGTAGTAGTAGTAGTAGTCATAGTAGTAATAGTAGTAGTAGAAATATTAGTAATAATAGTAGTAGATGAGAACTATAATATAATAGTAATAATAATCATATCATAATTATGAGATAATCTACTATTATATAATATTCTTTGAATATAATAGTATATATCTTAATATAAAAATAGATCAATAGTAATTCAATATAGAAGATCTTCAAATCTTGAAATCAAATCCGAATATATCTGAGATAATTATAGAAATTCAGATCGAGACTTATGATATTAATCTATTATCTTCTAATCAATCAAAATTAACCATTAAGGTTTCAAAATACAGTTCCCGACTACAAATAGATAATAATATAATATATTATCTAGGACGAAAAGGCCGATCAATTCCTAGAAGAAAAAATTAATTAGACGCTCACTTAATAAAACCTAATACGGCATTAATATTCAATAAAATCAATTATTTTAATATTTATAATTGCAAATAACTAATATTAAAAATCTATTTATTTTACTAACCACCGATTTTTTTTTCATATATCAAAAATACCCAAAATAAATCGATATTTAGACTATATTAAGATCTAAACTCATTAATAGAATAGCCATAACATTCGCAGATCTAAATCAATATATAGATATATATAATTTAATTTGGGACAAGTTCAATTTTTTAGGCCAATTTATTCCTAAGAAAATCTTATATCTTAGACCCAAATTCACATAAAAAAATAAATTTTCAATTTATAATTAATCCTATATCGTTTATTATTACTAGTATATTTAATAATAGTAAGAACAAATTCCTTTTCATATCATTATATTATTTGTCATTATATTCTTTTTTTTGAAATTTATATATTTTCGAAAATTTTATATCAATTATTATATATATATATATATAAATATCGTATTTTTTTCTAATTATTTCTAAATTATATTAAGATTATTCTATATTTCTATTTCTTTATCAAATTCAAAAAAATAATTTCAATTCTATTTCTCCAATTTTTTTAAAATATATGCCCATATCATAAAATAATATATCAATTAGAGTGGAATAGTTCACGAGCCGCGACAGAGCAGGCCCAGTAGTTCTCCATCAAGCCTGTTCTATAAATTGATCAACTCTGAATTGCCCAAACCTATTCTTAAATTCTCACGTATTATTTTCAATAATCTTGTTCGAAGTAATGCCCTGCTGCTTGGCAGCTTGGGCAGGAAAAACACCCTATCGTGGCATCCATTCAGACGCGAATGACATCATCATCAAGTCTGGCAGCGAAACCAGGAGCTTCTGTTGTCATGACCGAGTCATCTCCGGGCAACTATGAGGATACCGTAAGGGCTGGGCCTTGTGTTGTCACAGTGGGTTCCAAGCGACGCTGCGGTGACCATGCCTGCGAGGAACTTCTGGGAACAAAGACACATACATTCCGATGCACGGACTGAGCTGCCCGGGCTCATGCTGATAATCCTGAGACATTGGCCCAATTGCTGTTGGACCGCGCCAAGCCTCCGTTGCAGAAAGAGGCAAAGGTTGCTGATGAGGGACGCTGATGCTGCTGACTGACGATCTGCCGGTTCTGTCGATGTGAAATCCTGCCCACGGCCGTGTGTTCCTAGTAGGACCAATTCCCCCATTTAAAGCCACCTTGTGTGACATGGTGCATTTCAGCGTAGCACTTCCACTGAAAACACTGGCAACACCTGTGCATGAGTTCCGACCGGTGCATTTGATTTCAGGCTTGACTCGCCGTATAATGATGCTTCAGACGGAGACCGAAGACGATTCCCTCGCCTCGCCGCAGAGGCGTATCAGGCGGCGATTTTTCTGGTGATGGAGCCGCCCAGTCTGGCAGCGAAACAAGGAGCTTCTGTTGCCATGATCCAGTCATCTCCGGGCAACTATGAGGATACCGTAAGGGCTGGGCCTTGTGTTGTCAGAACGGGTTCCGATGGTGACCAAGCCTGCGAGGAACTTCTGGGAACAAAGACACGTACTTTCCGACGCACGGACTGAGCTGCCCGGGCTCATGCTGATAATCCTGAGCCATTGGCCAAATTGCTGTTGGACCGCGCCAAGCCTCCGTTGCAGAAAGCCGACGAGGGATGCTGTTGCTGCTGACTGACGATCTGCCGGTTTTGTCGATGCGAAATACGGCTCTGTTTCCTAACGATTCCCTCGCCTCGCCGCAAAGGCGAATCAAGCGGCGTCGTTTCTGCTGATGGCGCCGCAGTGCTTGGCCTGACAAGCTTTGGGCAAGTCGGTCAATCGCGGCTAGAGTGAAGTTGGGAGTACGAGAACCTAAACCCTAAACCGAAGACGCTAAAACATGTCACGTGCCTTGAACGAGACTGCGCCCGACTCCGGCGTTCCTCCAATCTGCGCAGCATTCGCACGGCCTGGCGGTCGTCTCGGCATGGTTCACGCGATCATGCACCAATGCCATACTGTGCTACACGATATTATGCTACGCTGTACTGCACTATACGAGACAACACAATCATCCAGTATTGTGATGCCACGCTACAGTAGATTATGCTTGACTCGACTATTATGCCATATTATACCATACTTTAGCAGTGCTATGCTATTCTATGCTTTAGCATGCTTTGCTATGTTGTTCTTATATTATTTTCTATTCTGTTCTCACTTGCTTTACTTGCCTAGGCCTATACCTTATTGCCTATACTGTACTATATAGTCTTAGAAATACTGTACTTTACCTGCTTTGCTATTCTTCTCCATGACACTGACGAACAGTCTGTTCCTTTTGCAAACGACCACCACTGACCTCGGACGGGTATCGAAGCCGTAAACGAAAAGAACAGCCAGAAAAGTTCTTCGTCAACAGCTGGAAAAAGCCTGCTGTTCCTCTTCCTCTTCCGCGTTGCGATAGAAGGACCTGCAGGATTGCTGCTGCTTCGAACCAGCGCATGTGTCTCCAGCTTGAAATACATTACTTGCAGGAAGGAGCGGCTCCCATCCGCTTGAGCACACGCTCTCAGGTTCAGGTCTCATTGTTTTCATGCTTTTATCAGACGGAGCGCCTCACCAGCGACTCTCCTTCACTTCGATAGCGTTTCACCTGCTCACGTGCACTTACGCGGGGCCGGAATGGTGAAAGTGGCTGGTGCATGGACCTCGGCAGCTGCGGGTGTCTTAAAGCTCTTGGAGGCCTCCTTGACAGCCTGCGAAGGGCAACAGCAGAGAGAATCATACTCGTAGCGCCATTGGCTCATGTCAAAAGCCCTCCTAAATTCCCTAAAGATGCCAGGAGGAGCTCTGGTCGGCAACCCGGCAAAGGAAGACTAGCATCCTTCCTCAGCCTACTCCTGGAATCTTCAGTTGTCCACCCGAAATCGCAGCTTTGTCGTCAGGTCCCGATGTTCTCGGGTTGGGTCCTGGGACCGGTGCCCACACCAGGATGACGGAGGCCACTGTATCGATGACCCATCCACCAAAACTATATCGCCTGGGTGTAACGAGCACTTAATAATCATGAATTTATAAACGAAGCCCAACCCGACGGAGCGATCCTCCCTTCTCCCAACCGTGTTTGGGAACCACAACAACGAGCATGTGAGCTGTGGCGGAAACCCAAACGAAGCTTCTTGCGCCAACCATGCAAGGTCTCCCGTCTTGTATTTCACGCACACTTTCTTCGTGCCACGCAGGGCTACACTCGCAGTGTCTCCAGACAATCTTCACAACACTGCGAGCTTTGGGAAGAGCTTGCGGACGGTGCCCTTTGGGCGTCCCGGTACGTGACTCTTTCACGTGCCTGAACAGGGCTTCCGGATCCGTTGGGCTCTGTGCTGTCAGATGCAAAGTTGGAATTCAGCCAAGGTTTAAAAGTCCACCGACCGTCTTCCAGTGATATGCAGGCGAAGGTGTTGTCGGACAAGCATCTTTGAATCTGCACAAAGTTGGACTTACTTTTGATATGCAGTCTTAGAGACACTCATGCCGCACACACGCCTCCCACACTGGTCCGTGCTGACATAAATTGGCCTTCCAAGCAAGAGCGTTTTGCTTCCACAGCAGCGCTGTGACGCTGTCGCGAGATCTTTGTCGAGTTAGGCGGCCAAACAGTAGAGTCAATCTCCGTGGCACAGTATACGAGTCTACTGATGGCCACCAACTCGCCGCGACCTGAATGGAAGCTTAGGACTCTGAAGCCCTTTGTGCAACAGTTCTGCTGGTTGACGTTTAAAAAGCTTAGACTCAGAAGGAAGACTGATGTGCGGAGGAACAAGCTTGCAAGTGTCCTAACTGAACTTCTCAGCAGAACCCAAAAGATGGCAGGCCTACTATTTACACGAATGTCCTAAGCGCGATGCGTGTGATGCGCAAATTGTGACAGTCATCGCGGCTCAATTCTTCCCGGCACCTCGCATGATTTTGCCAGAGAGAAGGTACGCCTACATCCTACATAGACCTCTTGTGTACAAGCGACTCTACTATGGCCGGATAAACACGTGCTGCATGACTGCCCCTGCCCTGGCTTGGCCTACCTTGCCGTTGATGCGATCGTCAGCTTCCTCAACCTCCGCGTTTATGTTCACTCATTTGTCATATGCATATGCAGCGATTTGTTTTTATGCTCCTAGCACCCTGATCGCGAAGTTCCTGAAGTTGGCAGCATGATCTTGCAACAACGCCTCGTCGCATCTGCCTTGCAGCAGCAGAAACTCGCCTTAGAGCGCTCTTGCGCTCCTGCGATCAGGTGGATGATGAAGGCTTCACTGCGCTTGAGTTTGAGAGACTGCTGAACGCCGAAGAAGTCAGCAAGAGTCTGGAGTGGCGAGTTTGTTCTTTTCTGGGATTACCTTACAGGATTCTATATATGAACCCAAAAAGGAACTACTTTAGGGCCTATGGGTAAAACAACAGTCCTTCTCTGCACAGGTCAGGCCTGCAACGCATTGTTCCCATAGAAGCCAGGATAAGCCTGGCACCGACGAAGCTGCAATCACGCAAAAAGGAGTCTCAATCATTACTATTACTATTGTTATTGTTATTGCTAGTATTATTACTTTTATTATTACTACTACTATTCACGACTAGTTCTGATGATGCGTGGCTCGCGCCGATGGCAACTGCTGCCATCGCTGCTGTTTCGGTGGCTCAACCTGTGCTTTCTACTTGTACCGTTATTGCTTGACCTGCCCAGACTCACCCTTTGCTCCTCTCGCCACATACTATACGTCTCTTGCCAAAGATGGCTCGCAGCAACGTGGGACAGTAGTGAAATGGGGTTTCCGAGAACAGGGGACCCTAATCTAGTACCTATTTAGGGTAGGATCCTTATTATAAGTACCCCAAAATAAGGTACCCCTTATTTTCGGAAACTCCCAAATGAAGTTGGCCGAGGAGGAACGGCTGACGGGCTGTCGTACCCTGCAAACATGACAGATGCGCAGCGGCAAGCGAGAGCCAAAGCGCTTCGGCCTCCTCAAGACGTGTTCACAGGCTAAACAAACATCTCATAACCTCTCAGAATCAATTATAATATACTATATTATAATATAATGTATTATAAAATAATCTATAGTACAATATATTCTAATATAATATATTCTAATATCAGAATCATCACCTCGACCCCGAGCTCTCCTCCTCACCGGGAGCTTCTTCGAGGACCGCCTCAATGCGCTCACGGAGCTCTGCGAACAAAGTACTGGAAGGTACACTACCCATAGGCCCTAAAGTAGTTCCTTTTTGGGGTTCATATATAAAATCCTAAAAGGTAATCCCAAAAAGGAACTACTATGGGGCCTATGGGTAGTCGATTGTAGTCACATCATGCCAAGCTGGCTTGCACAGCTGTGTAGCTCGTAAGGCGGGCATTTGCTGCCCCGACATACTTTGAGTTTCGGATGAAAGTTCCGGCTGTAGCAACTGAAACTGCCGCCTCCAATGCAGTTTTGCTTAGGCCGTGACAGTCAACGGCACTTCGATTTCCTGCAGTATGCACATGTGCACCACCGCAGGACAAGCTAGGAAGCAATGCCTATGGCCAGGGCAGGCAGGACCTTTGACTGCGTCTCTGGCAACTCCCACTTGCTGATGCTCTGTGGTTGCTTTCAGCATTTGCCCGCTGCGTGGTGATTGCATTGCTCATCCAAGCTGTCCTCAGCGCGGCTTGGACCTTAGAAACTCTGCAGGCCACACAAGTTTCAACTTCTGCGCTGGTTTCACATCGCCTTATTGCTGCGTGCGCTTCGGGGTTCTGACGACATGCTGCATTATTTTCGCCTCAGACATACTATGCCGACCACCACACATCCCGAGACCAGCATTTGCTGCATGTTTTCTCCCGCTTCAGCCGAAAACATCAGAATCAGATCATCAGATCCATTTGAGAGAGATCCCAATTCTTCAGCTCTTGGTTGCTAGGAGTTTGCCATTTCGGGCCTCTTCCACCATCTCGAGGATCCGCGCAAGCGCTTGGTCGTAGTGCTTTGGATCCTGCTTTTCGATTCCATAATCTGCGAGCCAGCGCCGCATTTTGATCTCCATAATTGCCTTCTCGTGGCAGAGTCGTAAGAAGATTCCCCAGTCGTTGATGTCCGTGAAGGTCTTGTAAACCTTGAAATCTGTTACGATAGGCTTCCTTGGGTCCTCCGAGATGTCGTCCTTCAAGCCACTGGGAGCAGGATATGCTTCAACTGCAATATCGCCTGCCCCTTCGGAGTCAAGCACATTCTTGAAGATATACTCGGACCGTGGGCAGTGGAATTCCGAGGTAACCAGACACAGCTTCAGTTCCTGCCCGGGTGCCTCTTTCCTCATGATGGCCAATATGTTGCGCGCATTTTCAATCGTGTTCAAAGCAGATTCATCCAGAAGGAGCTTCTCCGGATCGATGATATGCGGGGATGCTACCAGAAGGTTTCGCATGGCCTGTGCAGCAGAGCATGCATAGCCTGGCTCACACACATCTTCCACGCCTGTCCGCAGTCCTGCATTATGCTGGCGTGCAGCTTCCCTCTACGCTGCTCATAAAGTCAACCCACCTTCCTTTGGCTCTCAACCGGCCTGTGCTTCGGAGGTACCCACCCGACTGACATCAGCGCCGCTGAGAACGATGGGGGCGCCCCCAAGTGCTCGGTGCAGTTCAGCTGCAACAGCGACACGGTTGACCAAGGAGCTCGGAAGCGAGCCTCAAGTCGAAAAGAGCGCGAAAGGGGGGGGGGTTAAGGGGGTTTAGGCGTTTGGGTTTTAAGGGTTTAGGGTTTAGGGTTTAGGGTTCCCATATGGGGCTCTTTTCATATTCTCACCGTGACAAACCATGAAAGGAGTTCTCAAAAGTTGCTGCTCAAGAGACCATCTGGGCAAAGCGCCTGCCCTAGGCAAGCAATGAATATGACCATGGGGGCCTTTGCAGATGTTTAGGGTTTAGGGTTTAGGCCTTTGCAGATCATTAGATCCCTCAAAAAGACTTAACACATTGTTGTGCTCTCCCTTTCTGCAACGGCTGCTTGGCTTCAAAGCTCAACGGTTCGTCGTCGCTTCCGACGGATCATGCAACTGTTGCTACTCTCTGAATCATATCAAATTAACCATGTTCAAGCTGAGAGCCACGGCTACTGGCGCAGGCAGGTCAGATGCTGAGCCATGTCCCGGTATAAAGTGTGTGAGTTCGTTCGACACGCTTAATGCAGGGGTCTCGACCGTGGCAGACGAAAACCATAAAACCTTCGTCCTTTGTCCGCGAGCTGGTGAGATCCAGCATGGGGAAGTGAAGCAGATGCTGAAACCTCACTCGCCTCTTAATAGAGGAAGCCGGTCGCGCTGGCCAAGTCATGCAAGATTCAAGGTGCCAACTGCGGAAACTGGGGATTCGGCCGCTGTTTCCCCGCTTCCTGATAGCTGGCTGCATCGAAGACTCTTGTGAAGCACATAAAAGCTGACTTCCTCACAATCTGTGGCATGGCGGTGGGCCTCAGCTCGTTGATGCTTCCGGATCGGGCATCTTCGATCTCGCCTCCAAGACACGGAAGATGGCTCCCTGGAAATTAAAGGTTGACTCGGCATCGGGCCTCGGATGGTTGCCACGCGCAGCAGCAAGTTGAGGCGAAGATTCTCGACAACGTACACCTCAGATGAGGGTGTTCACACTCCAATAAGCCTAGCTGCCAACGCAAGAACTTAAGCAAGCATAAGCAAGGGCTGTGGATAAAAAATGTCAGCCGTGTCCATTCAGACCCTACATCCACCGACATCAAAGAGACCTATTAGTCCAACGTGATCGAACATGTTGACCGACACTCTGGTTGCTGTTTCGTTTGCCCCTGTACTGCGTGCTCTAGCCACTGACTTGTTTCTCTCCTGCTTTGTCCTCCGTGCGGCCGGGTGTCTGTCTCGCCGTGCCGGTAGCCCAAGGCAACAGCCACCCGCCCTGGAGCTGTCACAAGTCGCCCGAAGCAGCTCATTTACAGTGGACTTCGCGCCAGCACAGGTCTCCTTTTGTCTACGGGTGCCACTCAGTCCCGACAGTCAGGTCTAATGCCCCACGAACCATGCAAGCCACACCTGAAGAAGAACGAGGTCTCCCCAAGGACCAGCCATTGTTCCTGGTAAACCAGGCACACTTCCAGAAATGGATCAGAGAACCGAGAGCAGCTTAATCATGCAGTTGCATTGACCATCATCACCCTCGCACATCCCTGCCTGGGCGTTAGTGGGCCACCTGAGTTTGCAAAGCACTGCGCAAGCGATGCCTGTCGTTTTGCATAAGACTTTGATCTACATTGATGACAGACGACAAGGCATTGAGTACGAACTTTGATGGATGAAGCCGGGGCCAAGCGGCTTCCTGGCAGAACCGTCACAATGACCGAAGACAGAAGGTCCCTCAAGACCGCCGTCGTGTCCTGCAAAATGCTCAGCAAACTCAAAACGCTTCGGCAAACTCGTCATATCATCGCATGGAGCACCTGAGCATATAGTATATATATATATATATATATACGAGCTCCAGCATGCTGTGCAAGCACAGGCGATGCGATCTGCTCCGCGGAGCTGGCACCACGAGAGACTGACGCGCATTTCATAATTCATAATTTCAAGTGGACACAGGCTTAAAAGACAGACTTCGAGGACATGACTTTCCCATCGCTCCTCGCCAATCCGGGAAAGCAGGGCCTGCGACAGATATTCAATACTCTGCCGGCAACAGAGAGTCTCCTCACCAGGCCTCGGGAGGAAGCCGCTGCAAAATCCGAATGCAGTCCTGACAAGAAGCTCCAGAATGATAGACACGTCTCTGCCACCAGGTCTCCTTTCTTCGGCTTGCCATGTAAGCCTAGAAGCCGAAAGCTCTCACACACAGCACCGATCCTTTCGGGTGGCCCTGAGCTGCTTCAGCAGGTCCTTGATTACACCTCAGGCCGCGAAATAGCTGAGTACATCAGCGAAGTGACGTTAACTGCTGGCACAGCCGGCAAGTCGAGCAGGCAAACCAACAAGAACACCAGGCTCAAGAGGCTCGCGGAGACATATAGCGACAACGACTAAGGCTCAGCGGTAAGACCCGGCAAGATTCTGATGCATATATACGGTGCAGACTAACAATAAACCCTAAACTTAGCCTAAACCCTGAACCCTAAACCCTAAACCCCTAAACCCTAAACCCCCAAACCCTAAACCCTAAACCTCAAAATCCTAAACCCCCAAACCCTAAACCCTAAACCCTAAACCATAAAAGGGGCCTGCGGTAACTCTGAGGTCGGCGCTCTCAGTGGGTGCAGACGACGGCACCGCACCAAAGGACTGGTCAGATGCACTGTGACGGTCCCGATGCCATTTATTATGATTACGTACTTTACTAGCATTACATTACAGTTTTTATTATTATAAGTATTGTTGTTACGGTTATTATAGCTATATTATCAGCATAGATATTTTCAATTTGTATCATGTCTTTATGTCACATCTGAAGCATGTGTGGCTAGATTCTTCCTATCAGAAGCAGGCCCTGGGCGGATCCCCCGCTCCCACCTGCGACATCCAGTCTGGCATCTCCTCGGAAGCTGGCAGGGCCCGACGAGCAGAGAGCGGCAAACCTCCAGAGTCTTGAGTCACATCAGTTTAGGGGTTTAGGGTTTAGGACATGGGTGGTTTTCTGAATTAGGGTCCCTTGTTAGGTCCCCAAAATAGTACGGCACCCTTATAAGAAGGACATTAGACCTTACCTTAATTTAGAGGGCTACTCACATCTTCCCACACACAACCGTTCTTTTCCTGTGCACTCCTCAAAGAAATTCAGCAAGAAAGGAGACCATGCTGGAGCGTGTGGTTGCTTATTTTATTATGACAACGCCCCTGCAATTTTTTTCAGGGGAACGGATGCTCCCTCAGCCCACTGCGCCACTGGGTCACTGGGCCTTTTGAACCAATTCGCATTTTCTCGTTGCCAGCGGCCTTGAGGAGGGTCTCCTCCGTAGGAATCCCACTCAGTTCACTGGCGGTTCACCGGCAAAGCATCTCCACAATGGGCTCCTCTTTGTGGTCCGCTTTGTTGTGCATCTCCAGAGCCGATGCATTTTGCAAAGGCACGCGGCCCTCGATCAAAATGGGCCTCGGATTCCCCAAGGCACCCCAGGTGTGCAGGACCATGCTGCGCTTACCAAGACCAAGCTCAGACGCAACTGCTCGGCCCTAGACGCGATAGGCTTTATGCTCAGGCCAGAGCCGCGCATATCGCTGCACAAGGGAGCCGAGTTGGCCCTGCGCCTAGCAGCACGACCCGGAAGGCTGCATTTTGATTGAACGGTTGCTTTTCACAGTGGTTTCTCTGTTGAATGCCACAAGGCGGTACACATCAACCAGCGCGGTTGCTGCATGTTGCTGCGACCTTCAGCGTGTTCAGAACCATTTTCCATATCATGTGCCAGAATCCTGCGGCCTTTGCCTAAGCTTTGGCTGGAAAGCCATGACCTGCCGGAATCCTTCACGTATTGGGCTGCTTTTGGAACTGGATCAGTCTTGGATTCCCGATACAAGCACGACAGATGAGATTTCAATCGCGTCGGTGATCCGAAACATAAGTGTTCCTGGCGACTCGACCGTCCTACCCCTGCATGCTTTCAACCCCAGGCGCAAGCCTCAATGGGCAGAACAGATGACAGATGGACCATTCTGAGCCTCAGGCACCATGATCTGTGCCAAATACGACAGCCCATGAAATGAAGAGCAGGACATGTCAGAAGCACAGGCAAGCAGTCTAATGAGACCCAAGAGGCAGGATCCAAAGGCGTTTCTGGCCTTCGTCAATCAGCATTTTGGCACTTCGACAGATGTTCGTGCAAGTAACCGCCTGCATTACAGAGGCCCCGACTTTCGGCGACGAGCCGCGCCGAGGGCTCGGTCTGCGTCAAAACGGCTTCGCAGCGATTCCATCCGGATTAAAGTTAAGTGCGATCCGAAATCCACTGGGAGACTGCTAGAACACATTGGCGTGCTTCGGCCGGCGAGCGGCGCAAAAAAAAATGAGAGTGAAGAAGGAAGATGTTGGTGAGTTGGGACGAACCACAGTTGAAATGGAAGGAGCCTCTGCGTCTGCCAGAGCAGCCACCGCAACACGGCCTTGGCATAACAGCCTAAAGCAGGGGTTTAGGGTTTAGGGAGGGACCAGTGCGCAGTCGAGCAGAGCTTCCCACAGTCATCGTCGGCCAGAATTTCAGCCTTCGTGTAGGTAGCAGCAAGGCACAGCACCCTCACACACACACACACACCCACGTACGCATTGACGAGGACATGCTGCAAATATGGCTCAACCAGCAGAAACTGGGACGTGCTGCTCGGCAGCAGCATACGTGGCAAGCAAGATGCAAGATTGCAATTAGCTCTCCTGAGCGCTGCAATTTACAGTAACTACACTTGATCAAGATGTGAGTATTGGCAGGACTCGCGGGGACTGCAGGGCGTCCGGTTCTCCTGGCCTCCCAGCGCTGCTCACACCGCGGAAGCAACGCGAGGAGCAGCCTCAGACCTCCCAAGACCTCGCGAGACCAGGGGGCTGCTCTTTCCAGGCTCGGCTTGGGGCCAGGGCCACTCAGGTTCCGACGACGCTCTCCTGCATTCCACCCATCCCACCCATGGCCGCCTTGCAGGTCGCCCTTATGAGAGGAAGACTTCTGGAAGTCTTCGGCTCCCGACCGCTGCAGCCCTCTGCGTTTCCGTCTTGATGCAGAGGACGACCTGGCTTGCGCTGCAGACGAGATCTAATTCCATGGCACGAGGATTCCCAGCTTCTTCTTTTAGCACATCCGATTCCTAGGCCCTTGGCGTAGTTGATGTTCCGGAGGACATTCACGCTCTGCAGGAAAATGCAGGCCTCGCTCTGCGGAGTCTGATGAGACGGCTGCATAGCATGAAGCACGTCGTGCTCTCGAACCTCTCCTTTGAATGAAGCCCGCTCCGGCTCTCCTCTCACTGCTCCCGCTCCTACCATGACCCTATGAGCCCTAAGCACCCTTCTTATGATGTGAGCATTTCTAGGTCCGCGGCACGGGCGTGAGCCGCCCCGGCCTTCTGCGAAGAGCGTTGAAGGTCCCGAATCTCGACCAGGATCTCCTCCTGCAAATATGTTCGCTGTTTCACCTTGGGGATCCTTGTTTCGTAGGGTTGGGCCATTGGGTTCAGTTCAGCTGGATTGGCAAGGCTGTCCCGTCTGGACGATAGGTGGCTCAGCTGCCGCTCGAAACGGCGGTGCACCTGGACGGCACAGGGCAAGAAGTCCTATGCGCTTGAGACTTGCAGGTGAGCGCCGGACGTGCGGAAGCGACAGCCGCTGGTAGTTCAGCAGCAGAACCTTCACACGGAGCATAGCAAAGTTCCGTGAAGCGCGAACCAGTGAAACTTAGCCACTCGGGATTCACGCCCAGAGTCTGAGGCAGCGGCAATGTTTGCCAGGGCAAACCCGAAGAAAGCAATTGCCCACAGCCAGGCTCTGGCAATGGCCTGTTCACCGCTTGCATTGCACAACAAAAATAAGCCGACCGGCTACTCGGGCTCTGGTAAGGGCAGACTTTACCGAACTTTGAAAAACATGCCCGTTGCTGTCAATCACTCTGCCCCAGTTCAATGAGCAGGGACTGTCTAAGGACTGCACAGCATATGGAACCGCTGCAACACCTCGGCTCTTCAGATAGGAGGCTGAATGAGACTTAATGCAGCAGTGCTGAAGAATGAGAGTTCTCCTGTAGATCTCGGTGGTGAATTCAGGACTCCCTAAACCCTAAATCCCTAAA